CACACAGAGTGTGGGGGAGGCAGGTGCAGAGGGGGAGGGGTGCGAGTGTCGCTTGGCCTGCTCGGGCTGGACATTGTGCTGCAGTCTGTGCATGTGGAACCATGTGCAGCATTAGTGTGCACCACGCATATTCAGCAGGCAGCCCCTGAGCATGCCTGGGATCCCGCTCCCAGGCTCAGAGGACACCACACTCATGTCTGACCCCAGAGGGGGGGATGTCCTTCCACCACTTGCTATGGCTGGAAGCAGGTTAGATACAAGGGCGCAGGCACGACCCCAGACACACTGAGGAGTACCGGACACAGCACATGGGAATGCCTGCACGTGTGAGGCAGCACCCGCTCCTGTGGGCAGTGCTGTGAGCCACAGGTGTGTATGTGGACCCCTGGGAAAGCCAGGCTGCTCCCAGCTTCTCTGCCACCCATGGGGGGATCCCACTGTGGCCGGACACTTCCCTTGCTTGCTTGTCTGGGGTGGAGTAGGAAAGGAGTGGGCAGCATGGTCCCCTGGGCACCTCAGGGCTGCTGTGAGGCAGGGCCTGCAAGCAGGCCACACATGGCCTTGCTCCCATGAAATCCCCCTCCTCTGCTCCAAGGACTGTTGGTCGCTGCTCACAGAGGAGGGCACGGCCTCAGGGACAGTGTCTGCATGGATGACTGATCCCCTCTCCCTCTTTGCATTCTTCCCAACCGGACCAGTCTGGACTGAGGGGCAAGCCATGCCACCAAGCCAGCCGCCACAGCCTGGGGGACCCAAAAGCACGCCAGGGTCCAGGAAGACCTGATGTGGCAGCATGTCAGTGTCCTGCACGACATGCAGAAGACCCTGGCGCAGAAGATCCAGGAGGACGCAGAGTGGCAGAACTGCGCGTGGGACCAGCTCATGCAGCAGTGTGATAGAATGTGTGCCATCATGCATAACATGATGGCACACTCTCCTGCTATTGCTGCTCCTGACTATCACCTTCCTGCCCCCCAAGCAATGCCTCTGCTCCCTCCCCAAGCAATGCTCATGGCCTCTCCCCAAGCAATGCCCATGCTCCCTTCCCCCTGCCATCCTTTCCCTTGCTTCTGCTCAGCCCACCCTGTGGTCCCAGGACCCACCCTGCCCCAAGTCCAGCAAGGTCCCTGCACCTGAGGTGGCACATCCAGCCCTCCTCCCCCTCCAGGTTATGAGCTCTCCTCCCCTTTCCCCCTTTTTTAAAGATAAATACAAAGTTTGTGGTGTTAAAAACCAAACAGGTGTCTTTATTGTGAGGTCAGGGAAGGGGTAAATGGAGGGGTTTTGGTGGGAAAGGGATAGGGCAGCAAGCCAGAGACTCCTAGGGGGAGGCCCTGGGGAGAGTTACTGGGGTCCTTGAGAGAACCTCTACCTCATGGCCTCCCGAATGCGCACCCCAGCCTGATGGGCCTGGCAGATGGCAGCTGTCCTCAGCTGCTGGAAGGCTTGCCCCTTGTGGCCGGCATCTGCCCTCCACCCCGGGAGGAAAGCCTCCCCCTTTCTCTCCACAATGTTGTGGAGAACATAACATGCAGACACCACCTCAGGGATGTTGTGCTCACCCACATCAAGGCAGGTCAGGAGGCACCTGAATCACGCTTTGAAGTGGCTGAAGGTGCACTCCACCTGGATCCTGGCCCAGTTCAGGTGGGCATTAAATTGGTTCTTGCTGGGGTTTAGGTGGCCGGTATAAGTCTTCATTAGCCACAGCATCAGGAGTAGGCAACGTCCCCCACGAGACACAGTGGCATCTGCAAGTCCCCAACTGCAAAGTCCCAGCAGGGGAAGAATGTGCCTGCTTCCAGTTTCCTGCAGACACTGGAGTTTCTGAAGATGCAGGCATCATATGCCCTGTCTGACCACCCAACAAAAATGTCCGTGAATTGGCCACGGTGGTTGACCAGGGCCTGCAGCACCATAGAAAAGTAGCCCTTGTGGTTGATGTACTGAGCAGCTCCATGTTGAGGTGTGCAGATCATAATGTGGGAACCCCAGGGCAGTACATCAGGCCACAGTTGGGTTCGGTCTCCCAGGAGGATGACCCTCCGCAGCTGGATGGAATTGATGGCCTTCACAACCTGCAGAAGGAGATAAACACACAAAACAGAGAATGAGAGGGGGGTGCCTGAGCCCTTGGGAGGTGCCTGTCTCCCTCCCCTCCCTTCCCTCAAACACCTCAGTAACCACCCCCTATGAAGTTACTTCCTCAGCAGCAGGGCTGTGTGAGGGCAGGACAGCACTACCCCTGGGGAAGGGACTCCCTCCCCCATTTCACCCCTCACCACCCAGTTTCCCGAGGGTTGTCCTTTTCCAGGACTCCCCCGTCCCCCACCATGTAGGAACTGCAGCCCGAGAGTGCCTTACCTCTATGAGGATTTCCCCATGCTGAACTGGTTGCCCACTGATCAGTAGCTATCTAGGGTGGTAAACTTCCAGATGGTGATTGCGACCCACTTCTCCAGGGGGATGGCGGGCTGCAGGTGGGTGTCATGTCATCGGAGGGCAGGGGCAAGCCAGGCATACAGTTCCAAAAAGGTGGCCTTCTGTATGCAGAAGTTTTGGAGCCACTGCTGGTCATCGCACTGCTCCATACCCAGCTGGTTCCACCAGTCGGAACTGGTGTCCAGCCTCCAGAAACGCCTCTCCACTGAGGGTTGCGGTGGCAAAGGTGTGTCTCCCTGGAAGATCGAGATACAAAAGGAACACTTAAAGACGATAAAGTCATTGCGGAGAAACTAAATGAATTCTTTGCTTGTCTTCACGGCTGAGGATGTTAGGGAGATTCCCAAACCTGACCCGTCCTTTGTAGGTGTCACAGATCAAAGTGTCATTAGAGGAGGTTTTGGAATTAATTGATAAACTTAACAGTAACAAGTCACTGGGACCAGATGGCATTCACGCAAAAGAACTCAAATGTGAAATTCCGGAACTGGTTTGTAACCTATCCTTTAAATTAGCTTCTGTACCAAATGACTGGAAGATAGCTAATATAACGCCAATATTTAAAAAGGGCTCTAGAGGAGATCCCGGCAATTACAGACCAGTAAGTCTAATGTCAGTACCGGGCAAATTAGTTGAAACAATAATAAAGAATAAAATTGTCAGACACAGAGAAGAATTTGTTGGGCAAAAGTCAACATGGTTTCTGTAAAGGGAAATCATGTCTTACTAATCTATTAGAGTTCTTTGAAGGAGTCAACAAACGTGGACAAGGGGGATCCAGTAGATATAGTGTACTTAGATTTCCAGAAAGCCTTTGACAAGGTCCTTCATCTAAGGCTCTTACGTAAATTAAGTTGTCATGGGATAAGAGGGAAGATCCTTTCACGGACTGAGAACTGGTTAAAAGACAGGAAATAAAGGGTAGGAATAAATGGTACATTTTCATAATGGAGAGGGTTAACAAGCGGTGTTCCCCAAAGGTCAGACCTAGGACCAGTCCTATTCAACTTATTCATAAATGCTCTAGAGAAAAGGGTAAACAGCGAGGTGGCAAAGTTTGCAGATAATATTAAACTGCTCAAGATAGTTAAGACCAAAGCAGACTGTGAAGAACTTCAAAAAAATCTCACCAAATTAAGTGACTGGGCAACAAAATGGCAAATGAAATTTAATGTGGATAAATGTAAAGTAATGCACATTGGAAAAAATAACTTCAACTATACATATGATATGATAGGGGCTAATTTAGCTACAACTAATCAGGAAGAGTCATCGTGGATAGTTCTCTGAAGACGTCCACACAGTGTGCAGTGGCAGTCAACAAAGCAAACAGGATGTTAGGAATCATTAAAAAAGGGATAGGCCCACATCTTGAATACTGTGTACAGATGTGGTCTCCTCACCTCAAAAAAGATATTTTGGCCTTGGAAAGGGTTCAGAAAAGGGCAACTAAAATGATTAGGGGTTTGGAACGGGTCCCATATGAGGAGAGATTAAAGAGACTGGGACTTTTCAGCTTGGAAAAGAGACTAAGGGGGATATGATAGAGGTCTATAAAATTATGAGTGGTGTAAAGAAAGTAAATAAGGAAAAGTTATTTACTTGTTCCTGTAACATAAGAACTAGGGGGCACCAAATGAAACTAATGGGTAGCAGGTTTAAAACAAATAAAAGGAAGTTCTTCACACAATGCATAGTCAATCTGTGGAACTCCTTGACTGGAGGTTGTGAAGGCTAGGACTATTAACAGGGTTTAAAAGAGAACTAGATAAATTCATGGAGGTTAAGTCCATAAATGGCTATTAGCCAGTATGGGTAAGGAATGGTGTCCCTAGTCTCTGTTTGTCAGATGGTGGAGATGGATGGCAGGAGAGAGATCACTTGATCATTACCTGTTGTGTTCCCTCCCTCTGGGACACCTGGCATTGGCCACTGTGGGCAGACAGGATACTGGGCTGGATGGACCTTTGGTCTGACTCAGTATGACTGTTCTTACATTCTAGTATTTTGCTGTGTGTGTTGTAGTCTCCCCTTCTGAGGATTGGAAAGGAGACCTGTGTGCCTGTATCCCCTTTGGAGATCGGGGAGGAGGATTTTGTTGGGTGTGCATTTAATAATCACATTCATTCGATATATACCAAAGGATACAATTAAAAAAAATGAACAAATATGATTTTTTTTAAATTTTTTTTTTAATTGTATCCTTTGGTATATATGGTTGTGACTACTTTCTTCCACTATTTGATCTGAGGAAGTGGGTCTGGCCCACGAAAGCTCATCATCTAATAAACCATCTTGTTAGTCTTTAAAGTGCTACATTGTCCTGCATTTTGCTTCAGCTACCCCAGACTAACACGGCTACATCTCTACCACTATTCGGTGAGCTGAATCTCATTCTTAATTAATTGCTGGAGACACCTTCCCATGATTTCAAATAGGCCCTTTGCAGAATCAATGAAGGGGGGAGGGGCAGTCCTTGCGACTATCCCAGGACCAGCGTTAATTATTCTGGAGGAATGTCAATTTCCCAGCAGATTAGTGCTAATTACCAGCAGTTCCTTGCAGAATAAAAGCAGGGGTCATCGCCCCGCACCTCAGGCAGTCTTTCTCTAGATGGAAGGGGGAAAGCATTAGCACGCCATGGAGGGGTTTGTCTATCCCCCCTATAGTGTGTACCAGGGGTACAGTGGCACCTTCACGCCCAGTCACAGCGGCGGCTCGGCGGGCCCCAAACAGAAGCAGCCCAGCTGGAAGCAAAGCAAAAGCAGCAGCAGCCCCTACCTGGCCGCCCTCGCCCCGGAGCCCGCTGATTTCCTGGACAGCTATAAGAGGGCGCAGCTCAAGGCGCTGCTGGCCCAGGTGAGCCCGGGCCTCACCCCGCGACTCCGCAAGGCCAACACCAAGGAGGTGGGGGTGCAGGTGAACCCGCGAGTGGACGCCTCGGTGCAGTGCTCGCTGGGGCCGCGCACGCTGCCGGGCAGCTGCCCGCAGAGCCCCTCGGCCCGCTTCGGCCGGCCGGCCCTGGCCGTCTACTCGCCCGTGCTCGACCGGCGCCTCTTCACCCTGCCCGCGGCAACCGCGCCCCAGGCGGGGGAGAAGGCGCCGGG